CAAAAATTGAGGAATTTTAGATTTTCAAAAACACATCTTGATAGATTGGAGGACGCTGATTTCAAAAATCGAAATAAAATTTCAGTTGAAAAAGTATGAGCCGAGTTATAGCGATCCGGCACTTCCGACGCGACATTGCGTCTTTTATATCAAATTGTCGAACCGGCAGTGACGGTACTGTAGATAGAACTAGCATTTTTGAATTTATTTACTATAATTGTCATGGAACAGTGAAGTAGTATAGCATTCAAGAAGAATGTCTTACTTGTAGGATCAAGCATCTAAATATTTTTTAGAAGAAAGCAGAGGTAGATTTAGAAAATAGAAATATCATCTACTTCTACAGTGAGGACGAGGGTAGAAATTCATTGGAGGAAAGGTTCTTTGTTCTCAACAGTCATCTATGACAGATATGTACCGATAGGTGATATCGTTAACTGAATGCAGAGTAACTTTTGTGAAGGATTACTTTGGGAGAAAATGATAAAGCACACCCCGGACAGGCAATGCCTGCGTTAAATGAGACTATTGTGAGATAAAAAGTCCAAAAACGCTGTAAAACCCTTAAGGAAGAACGGTCCAATAATGGTGTTCTAACTTTACTGTAAAATCCGGGCTTTAAGCAGTTGTAATTGGAAGGGCAGACTTTACTCTCAAATCAAACATGTGTCAAATGATGAAAACCACATGTCTATCTCTCACGTCTTTTCCATCATCATCTACATCTTTTCTATCATTGCGGAAAAATCCCATTTCTTATATTCCGAAAAGATTTTGTAGGATAATATTTGAATGATGATATTTTAGTCTTCTGGAGCAGACAGTGATTGACGCCTTCTGCCGACTTGGATCCAGTGAATGTAAGGCTAATTACAAGAAACTTTTTGATGAAGAAGTTGTAGCAAAATGTCAGAAAAACGGCGCAAAGCCCAGTCAATGTGCTAGGTAAGTAATTATCAAAAATCTTGGCAATAATTTTGTCACCAATTGGATTGGCTTTAAGTGTTGCCGCTCCTCTCCGGGCCAAAACCTACTGTTATGGAGTTGAACAAGGAGGTGATGCTGCTTTCAAAAAGGTACTCGTAAAACTTCTTGAATATGTAATTAGTTTTCTATAAGAAAAATTAATTGGGAGATTCTTGAATTTAACCTTATGCGTCAAAATGAGATTGCATAGGTAATGGAACTCTACATGGCAGAAAGCGTGCAATTGGAGAAAGACAGTTTGCGTGATGCTTTAGGATGCCATAAGGATATAACTGCACTAAAAGAGTATCCTATCCTACTTATACTCACAAAAAAATGGTAGAATCCTTATGCATGTTTCTCAAAATTTTCTTTAGGTTGATGCTGTTATCACTTGATCGTAATTCTTCCTTTGTGCGTCTTCAAGACGTTAGCT